CGAGTCGGGTAAGCGACCGTCCTGAGCGCTGAGCGGTTTCTTTTCGGTGTGGCAACACTTCCCGGGAGCGTGCACGCGTTGTTGGGGATAAACGCTGTGTTTTGAGGGCGTGGTGATGATTGTGGAGATCAATGTGAAAACCAGCCAGCTCCCAGTTGAGGAATGCTGCCTGCAGAGCGGGCGGCTCCCGGAGGAGCGATGCAGCATCCTCCATCACCATCCTCTGCCGTGGCTGCAGATGCTTTTCCACCCTCCAGCTCTGGTGAGGGCTGAGAACTCAGGTGTGCACAGTTTGGATGCTCATTGCAGGTCGCAAAGCGATGCGTGCAAAGCAGTGGCATCCCTTGGCGTGCTGTGTGCTCGGCGGGTCGGCGCCAGCTGGGGGGTCTCCTTGGTCTCTTTGAAATCTAGTAAAGGCCGTGTAAGAACACAACCCATTTCTGGGTCTGCTAACTGGACATGATTTTTTCTAGCCAAGTTTAGATCATTCTTTATTTTTCTTCTTCCCACTTTTCAGTTCTGGGTCCTCCCGGATGGTCTGGAGGGGGACGCCAGCCAAAGCTGACCTTGCTGTAAGATGAGCTGCACTCAGTTAATTTTTTTAGGCCCCCACGCTCTCCCAGCTGGCCGTCGGCACGACGCCGTCCTGCTTTGGGGAAGGGACCCTGGGAAGGGCTGTGCAGCCAGGGGTGAGCTGGGGGACCAGGCACGGGGCTGGGCAGTGGGCACACGGAGCTCACAGTGCTGCCGGCCGGGGAACCGGTGCCGGCTGCTGCAGGGAGAGTGATGGGGAAGGAAGTTAAAACCAGCCAGCCCGCTGAAAACCACGTGTCTGTGGGAAGATGGAGGGGGTGTTTTATACATGGATTGTGTAAGGCTAGCTTGGCTAATCGATAATTAAGTGGGAATGCTGTAACATCTATAAATGTCCTGAGCGTTTGGCTCTCGAAGGGCTGAGTGTGGTTTTTTTACTGGCGTGGATGTGAGCTGGGATGTGCTCGCCTGGGCTCGTCACTAGAAAGTCAGATCAAAGACCCGCTCTCCAGCACCTCTGGGTATGTCTGAGCAGATGCTCCAGCGAGTCACAGAATCATAGAATGTTAGAGTCAGTCCTACTGGAACCTGAGCCATCTCTGCCAGCTTCTTTTACGTACTCCGGCTGCAGCTGCGGTGTTCGGCCGTGCCACGGGGACTCGCTTGGCTTCTCCTCTCTCCGTCACTCAGAGGGACGAGTCCCACGCCACCAGGCAGGTCTCTGCAAGCCAGAAATCAGTTGGCTGCAAGGGTTAACAGCACCTAAAAGGAAAAGCAATATAACGAGGGGATATGATGCCATTATTATGAGCAGGTTAATCGTTAATCAGCATTATCTTTTCAGTGTGTCTTGGAAAAAAAAAAAAAAAAGCAGTTTTTTGTCTGCCCAGAAAGAAACATTAGACCCTCAGGAGATTTAGAGAGCTGAGAGGGAGCAGGGCAGGCAGGAGGGCAGCAGGCAACTGGTGCCCAGGGAGCAGGAGCCAGCCCCACGACTGCCCCACACCTCCATGTAGGTCCCCTTTGCAACCCGGGACACCTACTCTCACCCTTTCAGCATTCTGTGTTTGTCCTGTATCCAGCCATGTTCCTCCTCGCCCCTATTCTGGGGAAGGCAGAAGCTTTGGCTTTGGTTAAGTGGAATTTGGAGACCATCGGGATGCTTTTAGCTGATAAACCGCTCCTTCTCGGCCGGCTGCATGCCTCTCCTGCGTCTGCTGCTCTGTCGGGCAGTTCAACATTTAGGAAATAATTAGTCAGGCTTGCTCAAGAAATGATGTGCGGTTCCGGCTATTTTTGTCAAGGGAAAATTTCCGTGCTGGGCTTGGTGATGAGAGCCGCGGAGCCGCGCAGCGTAGCCAAGGTTGTACCAGAATAACTGCTTAGATGTGTAGGAAGTGCACAAATAAATGTTAAAATCCTGGATTCGAAATGACATAAATGCTCTGGCTTTAGCCCAGGGCAGGAAACGCCTCTTGGAAATACAAACATTTCCTGCCAGACCATGAAGAGGAATGAAACTTTCACATGGCAGGAAAGCACAGATGTGTAAATCCACAGGCAGAGGCTCCCAGAAAAAGGCATGAATATAAACTCCGACCCTTTCCTGTGTTTTAAGGGCTCTTTGCTGCACGAGATGAATGTGAGCTGGAGTGATTCATGTGTTTATGTTAGAAGCTCAAGGAGCCTCCATCTCCTCTAAATGAAGTGCACCGATACCAGCAAAGTCATGTATTTGTCTTTGTGAGCAATCGTGTTCTCGCTGGACACAAAAATGCGAGTAACCCCGGTGGGGTTTAAATGTTAAACCCGCTATCAGATGAATTTTTAACAGAGACGGGACAGATCAGACACAAACAAACATCTCTCTGGCAATCAGCTCTCTTGAATTAAAGGAGGTCGGAATTAGTTAGAACCAGAATCCTGTTCTGTCACCAGGTTATAAATTAATCGATGATTACACAGAGGGTGTTTTTAAATGTGCCTGTCGTTTTACAGCTGCATCCAGCTGTGAGCAGAGAAGATAAGGTTGCCCGTGTCCTTAGATGGCTCCTGGGGAGCATCAAAGCCCATCGGGCACGCAGATGCCTTCATGTGATGCTCCTGACACCGCTGGGCAGTGGGACTGGAAACAGCTTCCCTGGGCAGTGGGACTGGAAAGAGCTGCAGTGGGACTGGGAACAGCTTCCCTGGGCAATGGGAGAGGGATCAACTTTGCTTTGGATCTCCAGCGGGGCTGCTGGGGAGGCAAGAGCCGCCTCTGGCTCGGGAGAGCCTCTTGCTGACCAGTTTCCACCCCGTGTCCATCCCTGAGCAGCGCTCTCACACCCACACCAGCCACTCCTGTTACCGGATCATTTCTCGTAACTCAGAAAGCTGTGGGGGAAAAAAAACACAAACCAACACACTCTCAGAGCGTGTTTATTTCCGAGTTCAAGTAGCACACTTTGGGTTCTGGCTGTCTTGGAAAGGAGCTGAGCAGCAGGTGAGAGCTCGGAGAACCCAGTGCCGGTTCACCAGCGGGTCAAAGAGTTTTAGCACACAAAAGCAGCGGCTGCTTTACGCTGGAGGAGGGTGGGTGAAACAATCTCGATCAGGACCAAAGCCTGTGGGGTGCTCATCGTGGGAAATGTCTTAAAATGAATAATTTTCCTCATGCTGGTTTCTCTGGATCCAATACTGGGGTCAGCAAGTTCCCCAAATTCACTCTGAGTGGGTGTTTTTCTGGTTCTTCACTTCAGCCGAGGCACCTTAGCAAACCCGCCTGTTCCTCACGGGTGTCTCAGGCTCTAAATACCAAAGAAATTAAGATATAGCATTAATCTGGCCCGAGAGCAAATGTGTGTAAACTGGCCATGGGTACAGTTTCTTTAGGAATGGGACAATTGTATTATCCAGGGTCTGGTTGTACTTCTAGTTGCCTCAAGATTAATTGGCAATTAAGTGTTGTATTCCCGCTTGCTTTGAGCAGGGAAATGAAATTACACGTGGTTCGGCATGTAGCTGAGTTTGTCCGGAAGGGATATATGCTAGAAATAATTGCAGCAAATTCCAATTTTCTCTGTCCTTTGAGCGTGTAAGTCTGTATCCAAGCGGCCATACAGGGAGGTGCTGCTGAGCGAGTCATTAAGTGCCCTTTATTTACTGCTAATTAGCAATGGTGTCAATGGGAAATGGGTACTTGGGAAAGGATTCCTTGTTCCTGTTAAATGTAGGAAAAATAAATGTTTGATCAGCAGTGTCTCTGTTAAATGTAGGAGAAATGAATGTTAGATCAGCAGGGTGGGAAATGCTTCTCCTCCAGTGATGGGAGATGCTTCTCTTCCCTCTCTTTTGGCAACTGCCGAGTAGATTTAAGTTCTGGAAAGTGTAAATGGCAACGGAGCTCATGGGCATGTGAGCTGCCAGGAGCCTCACAACAGCCCGGCAAGGAGGAGGCAAAGCCTAATCCCGACAAAAGATTAACTCTCACTTCACTTTTTTTGGAAAACTCTCCAGAATGCATCAAAGGCGTGGGGTTTTCTTTCCTGTGCAGAAGAAAGACCTTCAGTGGAGATGATATTGGCCTTGGCCTTGAAGTGCTAAAACCAGAGGAAGTGAGGATAAAAAATGAAGAAATGATGCTTTGCCCATGTCTGGGGGCAGGACTGCGCTCGGCCGCGGTGTCACGCTCTGGGGGTCCTGCTTCGAATAGAGGGAGGCTCCGTGCTGGTGCCGAGCACCCCTACCCTGCCCAACCTTCATGTGTAAAAAAAAAAAAAAAGAAAAAAGGCAAAAGAAGCCAAGACTGGGCAGATGGGGCCCTGCTGCCCGCTCAAGCCCCATTGCTCCTTGCAGGTTTTTTCTGTAGGAAGCTCTGGCCACGGCATGTTTAAAGCAGTTTTGGATTTTGGAGAGGAAAGCAGGACCGTGTTCACGTTCAGGCACAGGAGGAGGAGGGGGAAGACAATGTAGGGAGAGCCCTGGCTCTGCCACAGCCAGAAAATTTCTCTCTGTGGGGTTCAGAGACTCTAAAGAAGGGATAATCCCTCGGCACCTCTTGGAGAGCACCGGCATTTTCCATCCCCAGGCTGGATGCTCAGGGGGTGGCGGTGGCAGCTCCACGAGGATGCTGGGAGCAGCAGGCTGAGACCCGAAAACTGGTGGGTTTTGTGCTTTTCTGCCCGTTTTTCTGAGCTGCCGCGGTGTCAAACCCCGGGAGGGCACCGCGGCCCTGGAGCAGGAGCCTGGGCTAAATCCTTGTTCAATTCGGCGCTGGCTCCGAGAGCATCCCGGAGGGCAGAGGTCAGCAGCTGAATTCTCTGGTTTTGCTAGCTCAGCTCTAAGCTCAACCTTTCCTTGTTTTCACAAAACCTGTTCCAGGAAGTTTATTTTTCCCGAGCATAAAAGTAAATGCTTAGGTCTGTATGGCAGAAGCTTAAACGAAATTTAAAGCGACTTGCACGCCAACTTGTAAAAACAGCCAAAAAAAAAAGAAGTGGAGGTTTTCAGTTTCTAATGTGCTGGCTTAGCCTGGATTTTAAAAGCCCTGCTTTAAGCGATTTCTTTAGACTAAAATTTGGCGTAGACTTGAACACTGGAGAGCATATGTACAAATGAAGTGTTAGGACCGTATTAAAAAAAATAAATTTGTTAATAGCAAAAAATAACAGTAAAAGTATGAAATGAGAATTGGGTAAATTCTGTAGGGAGCCTCTCTGAAGAGCTGACAAATGAAGTGCTTATTGCAGCTTCCCTTGCCCAAGACCAAATTCCAGGGAGAAATCGTGAGCTCAGCCAAGATTTTCAGACCTGAGGTTGACCCTGTGCGCATCCACGCTGAGACGCTGCATCGGATCGAAGCACGATCTGGAAAAAAACGATGAGTGCTCCACTGGTCCCGTTGCCTTGGGTTTATTAAACCACTTTGGAAACCCGGAATCCGGCTGCGGGGTCTCATGTAAGCTCAGAAATAACTCCTGGCAGGAGACAGGTTTATGCCTGGGCACAGCTCAGGTGCAGGAATTTCCGACCAGAAGGTGTTGAACTGTTGGGAAAGGATCCGAAACGAGTTAAACCCTCACCTCTGCTCCTGGAAAGCGACCTTCCAGCGAGAGGCTCAGAAGCTTGGCCTTTGCAGCTCTTTCAAGGGAAGGCAGGAGGCAGCTTGGTTGCGATCCATAAATAGCTTTCTAGGAAGACCGTGGCGATAAGCAGAGCAGAAAGGAGCCCGTTGAGGCGCAGCAACTGTTGGGAAAGGATCCGAAACGAGTTAAACCCTCACCTCTGCTCCTGGAAAGCGACCTTCCAGCGAGAGGCTCAGAAGCTTGGCCTTTGCAGCTCTTTCAAGGGAAGGCAGGAGGCAGCTTGGTTGCGATCCATAAATAGCTTTCTAGGAAGACCGTGGCGATAAGCAGAGCAGAAAGGAGCCCGTTGAGGCGCAGCGCCCGCCTGCTAAAAATATCGAGGGGCTCTGCGGGGGGCTGCACAGCATCGACCCGGGAGCACCGGTAACCTTCCCATCCATCCGTGCAGTGTGTTTTAAACAAGTTCTTTGGAATGCCAGTGAGTTTTTGCTGTTGTTACGCTTGCTCCAGGCAACGCAGCGAATAATGAAGCCCCTCTCTACGCCTGCCGGGGGGGGCTGTGTTCCCCATCTCCCCTGCTCAGTGTCTCGTCCAAAGCCAGCAACTCCCCATGCGAAAGGGCTCGGGGGGTCAGGGGACACCGTGCTGGAGCTGCAGGGGTGTTCCCAGGGGGCTCCATCCCTGAGACCCCGATGGAGCATTGCACGAGTGAACACTTCCCTTCTCCCCACCAGCCCTGGTGCTCTCGCGCTGCGTGGCTGCTCTCCCAGCAGCTCTGGGGACGTGCATCGCTCCCGCTCTGGCTCTTTTGGACTTCACAGCAATTCATAGAATCATTACGGTTGGAAAAGACCTCTAAGATCATCTAGTCCAACTGGCTACCCAACACTTCCTCCTCTGCTCTGCTCAACCAGCAGGAAAAATCCACATTATCCCCCAGCCCCAAGGGGTCGAACCAAACCCCCAGCCTGGGAGTGTGATGTGGGATGGGGATCCCACTCTCAGTCCCGGTCCTGGTCCGTTGGCAGCTGTTGGATCCGACAGCGACTTCTGTGTTAAATGATTTCTTCAGGAAACAGAGGCACTATTGCTGGGAAGAAAGAGCTGCTGCCCAAGCGGAAGAGAGGAAATACCTCTACTGAAATAGAAAATTAATTTTAGACGAGAATAGTGACCTCCTTACTGATGGGCTGGGGCAGCGTGAGGGCTACGATTGAAATCCCAAACGGGGGGAAAAGGCTGTGCTCTGCATCTGCTGCGGCTCAGCCCGTGGGAATCGGGGCAGCAGCCTTTCCCTCAGCCAAGCTTTTTGTTCGCAGAGGGGAGATGGCAAGGGGCAGTGGTCAGCGAGAGCTCCCCTGGCTCTGTCCCGGTGGTTCCCCAGCAGAAAAGTGTCCTGAGAAAGAGTAAAACCCGTTTTCTTGCCCCATCTCTGCATCTGCTCAGCGGGGCCCGAGGTGGAGGGTGCCCAGGGAGCGTCGATTCTGCCCTTTTTCAGAGGAGAGCTGTCATTTATTTCAGTCACTTGTATGGGAAGTAAAATTAGACTGAGCCGATGTAATTTCAACAAGTCTGAACGCAGCCAGGTGAGGTGCTGGAGGCACAGTGAAGCACACGTCTGTTTTGATATAAAGTAGAGGAGGAGGAAATTCAAAATTAAACCAAACCAAACTATATATTCTTACAGACCAGGCATGTTTGGTGATGGGTCTTTACCACCATAACTAAGCGGGGCTCTGCAGCCCGGGCTGGCTGGCGATGGAGCTGGGAGCTGCTGGGGCTGTCCCCTCCTCGTCACGATGCACAGCACCACGGTTTGCACCTTGTGCGGGTGTTTTGGGGGGGTGGGATTTTCTGTCGTATCTCGCCCTGAAGTCAAGGTCTCTTGGGGGCAGCCCTTGTGTCTCCCTCCTAGCAGGACCAAACTCCCCAACGCAGTGCTGCCGGCCCCGGAGGGGGATTTGTGATTTCCAGACTGTTTGCAGAGAGGAAACGGTTTCTGCAAACAGTTTGCTCAGCCTGCGAGTGACTCAGCCAGGGCAGCCGGGCTACGACCCGCGGCCACCACGGCCACCTCTGCAGCTGGCCCAGCTGCTGTCCCTGGGCTGTGCTGGCGCTGGGGCAACGGTTCCCAAACCAAATCCTGTCCTCGAAGCAGCGCCGACATTGCTCGGAGGTTTGCGAGACACCTGCAGGAAGCGAACCAGATGATGGGGGAGTTCTCGGAATAACCTAAACACAACGTGGAGGAAAATGACTTCACATCTTTCTGACACCTTCTGCTGGCGTCACGGGAGGGTTTGGGGTTGCAGCGTTGTGGGGAGATTTGTCACCTCTCTGGTCTCTGCAATGGGCTCCCCTCCCCGGGCTCAGTCTCACTCCCCACTGTGGTTTCTCTGCCCTTGGAAGATGCCGCAGGACTGTAGACGGCGGCAGAGGTGTTATTTCTGCTGTCAATCAGAAATAACGAGGATGCTCAGTACCTGGGTGAGGGTGGGCTCTGCATTTGCCGAGGTCTGCGTTCGTCTCCGCCGGTTTTCCCACCCGATAACCACA